AAAGTGTCGGGACAAATTTTTTTTTTTCATTTTATAGTACATAAAATAAGCTTTAATTTGATATATGTTTAAAAGACGCAGTATTTCCGGAACATTTTCAAAAATTAAGTTGAAAAAGTTAATTTTTGTAAAATAGTTGCTATTTTAAATCCCCCCTAATGAGCAGGTTAATTGATAAATTTTCAAAAAAATGATATCAAATGAAAGGGAAATATCTAAGGTTTTAGTATAAAAAAAAATTATGTTGATTTGTTGATTTTTCAAAAAGTTATGGAAGTTTTAAGAAAAAAAAGTGAAAAAATTTCGAAAATTAGCGATTTTTAAATTTGTAATTTTTTTGGATATTTCCCCCATTTGCGGGGAACGAGGGAATTTTTTTCAATTTTTAAGGGTAATGTCTTCAACTAGATACGATTTGTGATCTTTTGACGTATTTTTGAAAGAAATCGGTCCAGTGAGAGCTGAGAAAAAGTGGCAACAGACATAAAAAAAAAAAAAAAAAAATCATAGTAAAATTAATACCTTCTCCGCTTCGCATCGAAGCTAAAATAAAAAAAAATTATTTTACAAAAATCGTAATTTTTTATTAACTTTGATGTCAACTTTCACCACGAAGACAAGTCCAGAGGTCAAATTTTTTTTTTTCAAATTAAAGTATATTACATTAGCTTTAATTTAAGATATATATAAAAGTGTCAGACCTTCCGGAACATTTTCAAAATTTAAGTTAAAAAAATTAATTTTTTGTGAAAAAGTTGTCATTTTAAATCCCCCCTGTGGGCAGGTAAAGGGTTAAATGTATGAAAAAAATATACCAAATGATAGGTAAAGACATCAAGCATTTATAGAAAAAAAATTATATTGATATGTTCATTTTTGAAAAAGTTATGGCAGTTTTTAGTAAAAAAAAATTGAAAAAATGTCAAAAATTAGCGATTTTTAAATTTGTAATTTTTTTGGAGGTTTCCCCCATTTACGGGGAACGAAGGAAATTTTTTTCAATTTTTGAGAGTAATATCTTCCGCTAGATACGATTTGTGATCTTTTGACATATCGTTGAAAGAAATCCGTTTGGTGAGAGCTGAGAAAAAGTGGTAACAGACACAAAAAAAATAAAACACATCATAGTAAAACCTTCTCAGCTTCGCATCGAAGCTAAAAATACATCATGGTAAAATTAATACCATCTATCTAAGCTTTGCGTTGAATTTATTTTTCAGTTAATTAATAAAATTAAATTTTTATATTTTTCAGAAATCTATCAATTAATTTTACAAAATAAAATTTACTGAAATATTAAAATTAATAGTAACGTAAAATTTTGGAAAGATATCTTAGGTAATTTTATTTAGTAAAATTACTTGGAAAGACATATAAAAGCTTCTTGTACTACAGCTAACCAAGCTAATGTAGGTTGTGTGTCAACTGGTGTAGGTTGATAGTCAAAAAGTGCTATTAATAATTTAGCATTTAATGAAGCTGGTAACACTAAATCTGATGGAGGATAAGAAACAAATAATCCATGAAAAACTTGAAAACCACAAGATAGTAATAATGGATGATTTAAAGTCATTAGTTTCAAAACTTCTTCACAAAGAGGCTAAAATGTTAAAAACATATTGTTATGTATTATAAATTTCTAGTAATAAAATAATATTTTTTGCAACACAATATGGTGTTTAAATTATTGTAAAATACACACTTTCATTTCTTTTTTTGGAAAAATGGGCATAAGTTCTTTCAACAATGTTAAAATGTGAAGAATAGTAGTTATATTATTAGTAGTTGATCCAGTTGATGTTAACATTTTTGTACAGTACGAAGCAGTATAACCAGACATAGGATGAATAGATTTTTTATAACTTTTCAAAATGCTACATATAGCATGCTGAGCAGATTTTCTAATCTAAAATTGTCAAAAAGTATAAATGAACATTAGTACAAAAACATGTATACATATATCTATATCTATATATTTCTTTTTAAATAACTTTTTTAAAAGTTATTGATATAAGTACACGACTTATAGTATACAAATAAAAATATATTACGAATTAAATTACTTTTGGTTTTGGATGTATTATAAAATTAAGCATGGCATCATATACTTGAATAGTTGAACTATGTGACCAAATAATTTTTTCTTGTATTCGAAGTAATAATGATAAACAGCTGAATATCTGAAAAATATATTTGATGAATTCTACGAATTGTTAAGAAGTAACGTAAAACAATAAATATTTTTGACAATTAAAACTTATTAGTTATGTTATTGATGATATATTAAAATTTCAATTAAACAATGTATACAGAGTGATTCTTCAACTATATCTTTTTAAACATAAATTTAAATCTTTTTTGTCTCTGCAGTTAATATATTACAATTAATGATTTCCAAAAAAAAAATTTGGTCTTACACCATAAAATATTGTCACCTATATGAAAATTAAATGGAAACATATAAATTCAACCAACATAGAAACTAAGCAAAGAATTAGATGATAACAAATTTGGAACTAATATTTAAAAAATATTAAAAATATAAAACTCAAAAACTTACAAAAGTACATTAAAATCATATATACATAGTTTAAGAACAAAGTTAGTGTTGATATAATTTTCTACATGTTTTTGAAAATTGCATAGTTCGGACAAGTATAGATGATATCTGACAGTGATTAAAATCACTATTATAAGAACGCTTTGATGCAAATCTATTGATAGTGTTTAATTTTAAGAAATTGGTGGATATTCCAAAAGCAATATTAACTCCTATTTCATTTATTATTTCTATGATTTAGAAGTATAATATATAATTATTTAATTATATATTATAGCAACTCAATGTAGTATGAAATTAAAGGACTAAAAAAATAGGTTAAACATGAAATTTTGCATGAAATATTTTTAACATATTAAAAATAATTTGAAAAACAATTTTTTTTTTTAATTATTATTTTTTAAGAATTAGTTATAATATCAAAACTTAGAAGCAATAGAAAAAATCTAATTTTAGATTAGAAAACAATGTGAAAAGTTGATTTAGAAAAGTATATTTTTGATTCCGATGAAACTTCATTGTAGACAAATGTATTCATATTCATAAGTAAAAGAAAATTTTTTTTATAAAGTATTGTATCAAACCTTTGAAATTTTTATACCAGTTAAAAGTAAAGAAATATACAACTACGTAATATTTCTATAATTTCTCCGTATAAATTACAATATTAAATTATTGAACGTCAATTTCATACTAAATTTAGGTACTATAATTAGTATTTATTCATATATTATACTTTAAAATCAAAGAACTACTAATCAGGATTAATCAAAGAAATAAGAGTTTATGTTGCTTTTGGAATAATCCACCAATTTCTCTAAATGAAACACTATTTCACTGCTCTAACCAAAAAAAATATTCTAATTACCAAGGAATTATCATAAATTACAGTTTTGATTTCATAAATAAAAATTACAATTAATTAATAAGGGTCAGAATAACCAAATATTTTTTTTTTTATATAAATTCATACTCGATATAAGTAAGTGATTAAAATCACTATCATAAAAGCTTTGAACATAATCTGTAAAAAGTATTACACTTTTAGAAGAAATTTTTGAATTATTCCAAAAGCAATATGAATTCCTATTTCCTTAATTATATCTCGATAGTATGAGTAATTTATAATTTAATAAATTTTATATGTAATACATATTATAGAAATTGATATTACAAAAAGATTTGTATCAAAGCAATTATTATGATAGTGATTTTTATCACTCTCAGATATCGTCTATACTTGTCCCAATTATGCCATGTTTTTCTGAGTCTCAATGTGCTTGGTCTTAGTTATAATAATTTAACTTAGTATGTAATTGATATTAAATAATTTAGTATTGTAATTATTACAAATCCAAGATACTGGTACAAAAGTTGTTATCCACCAGTTATTTTCTAATTTGTTAAAGTTAAACATGCACATTTTCAATTAAAAAACTAGACATAGTTATCAGATTACATTGTATTTAGTAGTGTTATGTAAAATAAGATTTGTGATCTCTTGACGTATCGTTAAAAGAAATCTATCCGGTAAGAGCTGAGAATAAGTCGCAATAGACACACCCCAAAAAAATTACATGTCATAGTAAAATTAATACCTTCCCAGATTCGTATCAAAGCTAAAAGTATAAAAATATTTTTTTTGTTTTCATTATTTAATATAAATATTTCAATTTTTACAATTTAGTAACTTAATATCTTATGATAATAAACCAATAAATTATAAACCACAATAAATTAATGATAAATACATACAGATTTCAATAAGTTACTGTTGTCAGATTCTGCATACTTAGCCAGGATTGATATTAAAATTTGAGTAGTAAATCCAAATTTAGTACATAATACTTCTCTAGGCACACATTTCAAACCCATACTCAATAAACTAACCATAGCTGTAATACTATCTTCACAATCATCCTGTCCATGATTTAATGTAGATTGCAGGGTTGTAATCTGTTACATAAAATATCATATTAGATTAGAATTAAACAAGATTTTTACAGTTATTTTGTAATTAAATTTTACACATTTTTAGGATCAGGATTTTTTTAAATAAAATAATTAAATTAATATTGCTAAATAATTAAACTTTAAATATTTTTCCACTTTTTCTGATTTTATCAAAAATTGTATAAAACCTTGAATATTGCAGGATTTCCTAGTCTATATCAACTTTGTACAAAAAAAAAAAAAATTAAGCACAGCGAGTATTTGATACTGTGAATAACAGTAGCAGTTGAATTTCATTATAGATTAACATTACTATTATAAAATAGAATAATACAGAAAGGCTTAATCTCACAACTCTTCTCCATACATATGTCTACAGAAAAGATACAAATTGTAAATGTTTCTTAAAAAATGTCATGTATATCACTCTATAAATAAAACTTATTACCATTTATAATTTTTACATAAAAATAATATTTAATAGACTAAAAGCTTATATAATTTTTTTATAAACATTTTTTTACTAAATACTTCTTATTATAAATTTTCAAGTCTAACAGTGCTTAGTTGGTGCTCATGGGCTTAGCAATCTACTGGACAAGTCTTAAGTATAAGCTAAATTTATTTACATTTATTATGTTAGAAATTAGAATTAAATGATAGTACAAGTTACCTAAGTCACTTAGTCATACCAAAATAGTTGGTGCTTTTATCAAATTAGATATATTAAATAAAATTTAGTTAAAAATATTATTTTTATTAATACTTCAAACACAGATTTTGTTTTGTTCTTACAAGTGTAGCAAAATATTCTGTAGAAGTCTCCTTGCCACCATTAGCTTTAATAACATCAGTTAGAGCAGCAAGAATGGCTAACATTTCTTTATGCAAGTAAGAGTTTGAGCTAAAGTTATTCAATAATCTGTAAAAAATAAATAACTTATCAAATATATGTTAAATAATGGAGTTTTAATTGTAAAAAATGCGAAAGACTTAAGAAATAACAAAATATGCCGTTTTAGTTTTAAATAAGCAATGAAAATAATTAACTTACCTGTTGAATGATGGATTTGTACAAGAGCTCCAATCAGATGCAAAAGTTTCAAATGTTTTATAAGTAGAAGTACTAGTTTGGGACATGATATCTTCATGTTTATTAATACTAAGACCATTTGTAATATTATCATGATGTTTAAGAGTATTTTGAGTTAGTAAACTTTTTCCATTATTAATAGATGTATTTTCACCTTTAAAAAAAAAAAAAATTCATTTTAACTATCAAATTATCCAATTTAATTAAAATTTAACACACACTTACCGAAAATTGGTTTGCCAAAATTTACTTGTGCTTGTGAGCGAAACTTTTTTGTATCTGGATTAGTTACAGAACTCTGACCTTTTTGCCATCGTTTTCCTTTAGTTTTTAATTTTTTACGAAACTTTGCCATTTTTAGTTGAATTATTACACAATCAACTATAATAATTTATTAAAGCCACTATGTGATTTTCTCTAGAAGTTCTTAAAATAATTTTTAGTTTATATAAGTCAATAATTATCAATAATTATCTATGTCATTCTACATGAAGCACGTGAGTAAGTGCTCAATGATGTTACAAAGTACTAAAAAAAAACCTAGTGCGCTCTATGTGTTTGAATAAAAACGATTGACACTGTCAGGTATACCACAGACCAGTGTAGACAAATCTACCATGCAAATGGCACAATAAAACTTATATTATATGAAATTTGATATAATATGACATATAACCACGGTCATCTTTATAGATAAGACAGGTTACTCAACGAACGTATTTTGTGAAATCAAATAATCACTATCACTTCTCATGCGAGTCATACATCTAATGTTTCTAACGCGAATTTAGTAAAATAAAAATATTGGCTAATCAACTTTGTTCGATATGTGATATTATAATTTTTTAGTACATGTTAACGGAGTTGTTAATAATAATAATTAAAAAGTTGACATCCTATTATAGGCGCTAAAATGATATTCATCCATTTGTAGGTAAAATACCCATGCTACACAACTGAATATTATCTTCGATGCGAAGCCGAGAAAGTATTAATTTTACCATGATGTGTTCATTTACTTATTTTTTTGTGTGTCTGTTGCCACTTTTTCTCAGCTCTCACTGGAACAATTTTTTTCAACAATACGTCAAAAGATCATAAATCGTATCTAGATGAAGACTTTACCCTCAAAATTAAAAATTTTTCCCTCGTTCCACGTTAATAGAAGAAATTACACAAAAATCCTTAAATTTTGACTTTTTTCTAAAAATTGCTATTATTGGAAGATGAATGAATTAAAATAATTTTTTTTATATTTAACTTAAGATATTTCCTTAACATTTAATAACATTTTTTTGAAAATCTAATACTTAAACTGTCTCAGGGGGTCAAAATAGAAACGTTTTTACAAAAATCAACTTTTAGACGTATCATTGAAAGAAATCGGTCCAGTGAGAGCTGAGAAAAAGTGACATAAAAAAAAACACATCATGGTAAAATTAATACCTTCTCAATTTCGCATAGAAACTAAAAAACTAATAAAAAAAAGTCGTCAAAAAGATTTACTCAAATGAGCATATTATAAAATTTGACTATAGTTGTAAAAACACATCGTTAAATTCAGGTGAAACTAAAAATCATTTTAGCTTCGATGCGAAGCTGAGAAGGTATTGGTTTTACTATGATGTGTTTTATTTTTTTTGTGTCTGTTACCATTTTTTCTCAGCTCTCACCAAACGGATTTCTTTTAACGATATGTCAAAAGATCACAAATCGTATCTAGCGGAAGATATTACTCTCAAAAATTGAAAAAAATTTCCTTCGTTCCCCGTAAATGGGGGAAACCTCCAAAAAAATTACAAATTTAAAAATCGCTAATTTTTGACATTTTTTCAATTTTTTTTTACTAAAAACTGCCATAACTTTTTCAAAAATGAACATATCAATATAATTTTTTTTCTATAAATGCTTGATGTCTTTACCTATCATTTGGTATATTTTTTTCATACATTTAACCCTTTACCTGCCCACAGGGGGGATTTAAAATGACAACTTTTTCACAAAAAATTAACTTTTGAAAGTGTTCCGGAAGGTCTGACACTTTTATATATATCTTAAATTAAAGCTAATGTAATGTTCTTTATTATGGAAAAAAAAATTTGACCTCTGGACTTGTCTTCGTGGTGAAAATGGCTACCCAATGCTATTTTTGTATGAAAATTCTCGATTTTATATTTTACATTTTTTACTATATAACTTATTGAAAAGTGTATGGATCAACACAATATTTTTATGAGGAATAATATTTTCCCCTTAATAATCCCTTTTTCATTTGACATACTTTATCTTAATCAGGATATTAATAAGGAAATAATAGATCATATAGCTTTTGAAATAATCCACAAATTTTTTAAAATTAAACACTATTTAAAGATTTGCATTGAAACTTTTTTTAACACGCTTATATTAGTTTCACATGTATGTTTGTTTGTTGTATGTTGTAAGTTTGTAACTCCACGCGGCACGTGTTATTATGTCGCGTATCCGGTCGTCTATGACCTTGAGACTAGACCGTCGTAACGCATTCACCTCACCCCGATCACCAGACGGCGCCTACACTATTTTTCTGTATAATTCTTTTTCCTGTATATTTTTATTTTTGCTTTTTGTACTTGAATATGCGTGCGTGTCATCAATTATATATATATATATAACAAATTTTTATTGTGATTGACACGGCCCCGCGTTGTTTCGTTATACACGATGCCCCACGACTCGTGCCACCTTTATCAGCCGTCGCCCTATTTTATGAGTATTTGACTGACCAACACCGCGCGTTATACGCCGCGGTGCAAAGTCCAGCAAGTGCGGCACGGCCGACGACATACCGCCGCTAATGATACCATAGTCTTCTTCCCATTGTCAAAGTGACAACGTCAACAAACCGACCCGCACTCGCGCTCCATCATCATCTACGCTGCTAACCTTTTGACGCCCAAAGATCACGCCGGACATCGCGTCATCGACGCCAGCGAAAGTGCCGAGATATTATGCGAAGATTATATATTCTTACCATGGCCGTTAATATTAATATATATATATTTATATGTACGTATNTAATATATATATAATTATATGTACGTATATGTTAATATTCATTTATATATCCCTACAGCCGACGCTGCTGCCGCCGTATATACCTCATGTATAACGTTCCCCCCGCCACGCCCGTTTACAAAACACGGTTATACCTCGTGCATGATACGTTTACGTACTTAAGTCGCTTTACACGTATATATATATATATATATTCTAATTACTATTAAAACTTATATATTAATACGCTTTATTCTCATTAAGAGATATGTATTGTATTTATTCCGATTACGGTGAATGATTGCCGTATTGTTATTTTTTGTCACTACCTCTACATTGCGCGCTTGCTGCTTTCCTTGGATGTGGTAGCCGTTTCTCAGACTCCCACTCCGGAATCGAACCCTGATTCCCCTTTACCCGTTACAACCATGATATTGATAGTAACTACCATCATAACATGTAACTAAAAAGTGAAAAATAAATATAGTTTAAAAAAACTAAAAAACACGCTTAAAACAATAATGTACGAAAAGTACTAGTATTATTGTGATAAAAGCGTGGGTGCTTTGTGCCATATTTTTCGTATATTGAGCGCCCGACGCTTTTATCACAATAATACTAGTACTTTTCGCACATTATTGTTTTAANACTATTCGCACATTGTTGTTTTAAGCTTATTATAAAAGTTATTTTTAACTTTTTAGTTCGATGTGCTTTAAAAGCGTGTTTTTTAGTTTTTTTAAACTATATTTATTTTGTATAGTGATTTTAATCACTGTCAGATATCATACTTGATCCAACTATGTTACGTCACTACTGTGCTGCGACCCCCTTGTGCTGGGTTTTTTTGAAATAAAAATGATATATTTTATTATTAACTTTTTTACAATTTTTTAGTTATTATTAAAATCACTATTATAAAAATTGTAAAAATAAAATTATAAAATTCTGTAAATATCATTTAACTTTTAGAAGAAATTTTGATGATATACAAGTATAATGAATAAATTCATGTTATAGAATTTAAATTTAGATAAAATTGATATTCAAAATTTCTATTTTAATTTACACTGAGATTATTATAAAGTAGTTGTATATTTTATTCTATGACAAACGTGTATCAAAAATATAAATACAGATTTATAAAAAAAAGAAGAAGAAAATTAACATTCTTTAATTTAATTTATCCTGTCGACAATACAAAATTTGTTATATTAATTTCTATAATGTGTATTATATTTAAAAATTATTAAAGTATAATTTACCTATAGCAATGAAGATATAATTATGGAAATAAGAATTCATGCTGCTTTTGGATAAATTCATCAATTCTTTCTAATTGTGCTTTTATAAATATTTATTGTAATTTTAATTATAGAATATGTAATCAGTATATAAATAAGGAAATAAATAGATATTTATTTTGCTTTTGGAAAAATTCACCAATTCTTAAAATTAAACACATTTAACAATTTTTGTTCAGATTGATGATGTTGGGGAATTTAAGCGTAGTTGGTTACTACCTGTTTTAAAAGATAGCATAACAAATTCTACCTTAGAATGTTTTAATGGTCAATTTTTACCTTTAGCACTTCATTGTCGGTAAATATGAAACGTTATTTCAAAAAAAGCTTGATTTATTTAATTAAATTAATATAATTTAGAGAAAAGTATGAGAGTGCTTTAAAGTTATGGCAATTTTAAGTAAAAAAAATTGAAAAAATATCGAAAATTAGCGATTTTTAAATTTGTAATTTTTTGGGGGATTTCCCCCGTTTACGGGGAACGAGGGAATTTTTTTTAATTTTTGAGGGTAATGTCTTTGACTAGATACGATTTGTGATCTTTTGACGTATCGTTGTAAGACATCCGTTGGGTGAGAGCTGAGAAAAAGTGATAACAGGCACAAAAAAAAAAAAAAACACATCATAGTAAAACCAATACCTTCTTAGCTTCGCATCGAAGCTAAAAATTAATTACAAAGTAAAATTATTTAATTTTTTATTTGAAACCTATCATATCTAATTATCATATCAAACTTGATTCGTCAATAAATACTTTAAAAACAATAAAAATGAATGATTTTAATTGTCTGTATGGAGACAATGGGATAAGTAAGATTATTATGCAGTCAGGAAATTTTTTAAATACTATTTTCAGTATATTTAACAAAAAAATTCGATTNATTTTACTATTTTCAGTATATTTAACAAAAAAATTCGATTTTTTTTTACTTTTTTATTGTAATAGATCACTTAAATAAAAATCATAGTAATCATTTCTAATTATGTAGAGTATAGAATACATGTTCGTTCGACTCTTAATGACACAGGAATGTGCTGACCAAGGAATTGAGGGAAACGATGGTCGAAGGACTTCTACTGTAGGTTCCATACAGTCAGTATTTATTTTGTATGCGCTAATTACACTTTTGTGTTACTCCATATCATAATTTTATATCTTAATGCATCATTTTATATCTTTCTATTCCTTTAT